GAAAAAAAAAAAAAAAAAAAAAAAAAAATTTACTTGAAATTTCAATATTATCATTGATTTCACTGTTGGTTGTTACAACAAAACTGTTTTAGGACTTACAAATTTAGTGGGTTTTTTTACAAAAGTAGGTGCTAAATTTTTGGGCTTTACTAACTCTAAGAATATCAATAAACTATTTTTATAGCAACTTGTTGATACTTTATATTACAGAATTTTTGTTCTTTTTTCTAGGCTAAGAATTGATACACTGTCTGAAAAGACGAGTAAACAGCTTTATCGGTGAATGAATGTTGATTTATCAGTGCTGTTCACCCTGTCGACTGATGAACATCGCTTAAGTCAGCTTTGACTTTTTATACTGAACTAAAATTAAGTTAAAACTATCAGCTTGTTTAGTCAAAAATTTACTTTATCTTCTTCAAACTTATCATTTTTTATTGGATAAATCTTTTTTTTTCTTACAGATGTAATTACTCTTTAGCAGATTAATGGTGTGTGTGTATCAATCAAACATATATAGCAGATGACAGTTGAAATTTTTTCAACAACTATGCAACAGTATTATTGTTTAGTTTGTCAAAATTAGTTGATAAAAAATCTTTTTTTTTTACTTTACTTTCTTTTTTTACTGTACATAATTTCTTATTTTTTTTTTTTTACTGTTAACAGTGTATTGTTTTTTGTTAATATATTACTTTTTTTTTTCAAGTGTTATAAGTGAAAACAAAGAAAAGAATTTTACTATTATTAGTATCATTATTAATATTAATTTTTGCTGACAAGCAGATCAAAAAGTACTTATAATTCAGCTTATACCAATTGCTACCATAATCAATGGGCCGTCTTAACTTTCAAAACTGCTCAACTGAGTATTTAATCACTGCTCAAAATGGTGTTCTGAATGCTAAATGAAAAAAATTCTAGTCTTTCTCTTTTCTTCGAGTCAATTTTCTAAACTGGTACCTGTTTCAACGAAAACAAAAAAAAAACATACCTACATCTAAAAATAAAAATCAAGAAAAAGATGATAAACAAAAGTGAAGAATAAAAATCAAAAAGGGCAAAAATTCAAAAAACAGAAATCAGCAACGGGTTGGACCTCTTCAAAATTCAAAATATGTAACTGTAATACCAGAAAAAAAAGTACTAAGAAATAATCAAGAAAAAAAAAATTTTTTTTTTTTTTTTGGAAAACATTCTCTAATTTTAGGAGTTGCCAATTAATGATATTAAAAAAAATTTTTTTAATTTGTTTAACACATTTCAGCTGTATTGAACAGTTTGTTTATCAATGTATTTAACAGTATATCACCAGTGATTTTAAATACAATCTTAGGTACAGTTTGTGGAAGAAAAAAAAAAAAACAAAGATAGAACAATAAATAACAAGTTTAAAATTTTAAGCAATAATTTATACATTTCTGCTACACAGATTTAAAAATCGCATTTTTTTTTTCCCTTGAACTTAATCAACAGTAATTACAAATGGGAAATGTTGAAAGGAAATATACATAGATAAGTGATCAAGAGAAGAAATTCCAAAAAGAAAAAAACAATATTGTACCAAAATATAAGTTTATTTTTACAAAAGGCTTAGTTGGTATTATTATATTTAGCAATATTTTCGCTAGAAGTTAAATGGTAAAAATGAAAGTTTCTGAATCTAAAGTATGATTACCTGTACTTAACATTGGACTGCCATTGCATCTGGTCGTTTACTGCTTTTTTTTCTGAATCTTAGCTTTGTTGAACAGTGGACAGCAGTGACAGACTTAAGTAATTTTTAAAGTATATAAATTAAAAAAATAAAAAAACCAAAAATAAGACAAATAATAAATGCGAAATAAGAAATTGTTGCAGAGATCTGTGTACCATAAATATTATCAATCTGTATTTTTTTAAAAACAGTTAAGTAATATTGTTGTTATATATTATTGCTGTAATAAGTTCAAAAAAAAAAAGATTGATAATATTTTTTACAGTATATACGTAACAGAATAAGGCTGCAAAAAAAAAGAACAAAGAAGAAAACTGAGTCAACTTAAATTATTTCTTTATTTTATATGTTACACAATATCACCGATATATAATATTAACACCTGTAATTTTCCTTTGAGGAGAAAATCAAACAATTGGCTTGATTTTTCTGAGAAACCATTAATGCACATAAAGACAGAAAAAAAAAAGAAGACAGCTATAAATATTTCGTTTAAAAATTTTTCTGGGATTAATTGGAGAACAGCTCAGCGAAAATTGGAAATTCGGAAATCAAATAATTGATCAGTTACAAAAATTTCACAAGTGTTAAAAGGTAGGTTGCTATTACTGCGACTTCACTTGGCCTGTTTTTCGATTATAGTTATGATACTTGTTTTTGTTGGTGTTGTTGTTGTTGCTGCTGCTGCTAATTACTATTACTACTATTGTAATACCAAAATATCGTCAGTATATATACAAGTTTTATAAAGCAAACTTTAGAAGAAGCATTAAACCCGCTGCGATGAGACCTGAAAAAGAAAGAGGTGAACATGACTGAATAAGACGATACTGTAAGAGATGCCTATTGTAAAAGTTGTTGTTAATTTGAAGTGAGTTATAATTTCCACTGAAATTGTTGTCTTCTAAATGTTGTTTTTTTTTTCTTTTTTTTTTTGCTTTTAATATAATTTATTTTTGAATACTTTTGCCTTTAAAATTATTTATTAATGTTGAAGCAGCAAATTTGGTTCATTTCAATGAAAGCAGTTAACCTGAAACTGGTAGGGTGATAACCCATGATAAAGCTATGTTTCGGAAAATTTTCCAATCTACACCAGCCCTGCTTTTGACAACGCCAACAAGTACCACACTACCAACCTAAAAAAAAAACAAAAAGAATGACATAAATGCATTTTATTATTCACTTTTATGAACATATAAATATAGATTAATTGCTTTTTCTTTCGTTTTTTTTTTGGGGTTTTTTTTGAATATTTTATGTAGCATATTTTACTATTATATATACTGTAAGTTTGATAATTGTTGTTACTGGTGTTGCTGTTTTGCTTACCAGTGAATGTGTAGTACTGATTGGAAGTCCAACTTTGCTGGCAACTAATGCCGTAACTGCAGCACCAAATTCAATTGAAAAACCGCTAAAAAAAGGCAATAAATTATTACTCTGTTTATAAATAGAGAGCAAAATAACTGCAATTGATTGTATAATTATTATTCAGGTTTTGTTGACAAAATTGTTGACAATTGATGTTTGTCAATTAGTTACTTTTTTTTTGAACTGATAAACTACAACAATTCTAAGTGTTATAACTGTTGGTAATATGTGCAATATTGGAAGTCAATAAAACAAAAAAAAAAAAAAAAGAAAGAAGAAGAAGAAATATTGTTTTACTGTTGGTAACTCAATAATTTTGTAGGTATTTTTTTCTATTTAATTTGTAGTTGAAAATTGTAGTTGGCTAGATTAAGCAAAATGTTATTTAGCCGTTTATAATTGAAGTTTAATAATTCAAAAAAAGAAAAATTTTTTTAAAAACAGATGTTATTTTTTTTTGTCCAACTGAAAAAGTTATACCTAGCCGGATTAATTTCGCTCATATTTGTTCCAACTGTTCGGATTACCCGATGGCCAAGTACAACAAGTCCAATGCATATTGAAACAACACCGAACAATAGGACATAGATCGGTGTTGCTTCACTTTGATCAACACTCATATTTCTATAGATTGCCAACAGTGCGGTCAACGGTGCAATAGCGTTACTGCAATTACCAAATGAAAAAGTTTATGATCAATTCAACTGTTCAACTATGAAGTTGTTTTTTTATAATTCTGCTCTAACTCTAATGATCACCCAGGTTTTAGGTAATCTTAACAAATTAGCAACTGAAATTTTCTGCTACAGATAATTGCACTTTCAGATGAACCATACCTTACATCATTTGCACCATGTGCAAAACCAGCAAAACAAGCTGTTAACACTTGAACTGAACTAAACACTTTAACTGTTCGAGGATTTGTTGGTCGATTACGTTGCGGTAAAATTTTTTGAA